TACAGTAACAAGAAATGTAAAGCAGAGAGAAAAAAACCAATAAATGAGTTTAGAACGTTTAGAATCATATGCACATTTTCGTGATATTCTAACCTCAATCGCTCTTTACTCTCAGTTTTACATTCTTTATATCAACAATTATTTTATAATTTAAACAGGAAACGCAAAATGGTTTAGTGCGATGTATGCCAGCAGAATATTTCGGGAAACATTTACAAGCACAAAAGAGTTGAGCACAGTTGGGATCGAGGTGGTATTAAATTGATTAAACAGGAAGATAAAACTCTGATCGAAGCTATACAAAACGAAAAAACATTCGTTGGACCTTCGCTGTTATATTTGAAACGTCTCGCAAATTATGCGGTAACACAAAATTTTCAAGCCACATTTTTTGGAGTCGACTCACCAAAACCAGAACTTGTCATTACAACGGGTACAATTGCAGAGAATAGGAACTCTCGCAAAATTGCGTTATGAAAATAATGTGTTTATGGTTTTGACAGATTATTAATGTCAACGTATACGTATACGTAAACACTTTCTCCACATTGTGGAGAAAAAAACAGATATGTGGCATACCAAGAGATGGTGTTGTATGTTATGAATCTTTTTTCATTGTTTGACATCAGGGGGGGTTGGTTACAACAATATGCGACAGTGGAGGGTTTTGTTTACAAGGACCACATCCGTTTGCGTCACTAGAATGATTTTCATTATATTTCGACAGTTCATTTGCCACAGAATTTCACAACGGTATGAGATTTCATACTTTTTCTTATGTCAAAGACGGTGCAGTACGTTTTTAGCAAGTCGCTCGTGTAAAGCGATAAAACTTGATGTAATTGTGATTCAAAGTCACTTCAATTTGTTTCAGTTTCAATCGCAATCGACAACACTATCATCGGCCATGAAGTTATTCCTGTGGAATGATCGAAACTGGAAAATTGTGGATGAAAACACCGACTATGATACAGAGGACTATGTGATCGCTCGAAACATCTTTGTTCGTTGGTTTCCACACGTAAGTGTAAATTGTGGTAATTGTTTTTCTAAATCAACCGAATCAATCAATGGAAATTAATTTTCCAGCAACTACCCGGCTTGATCAATGAACAAATTCACGAAGTATTCAAACAATTCGGTGAAATAGAATCAGTTCAACGCTCAAATGAAGACGATGTATTCGATGGTACGTACAAAGCGATTGTAACATTTACGCACAGCGAATCTGCATACAATGTTTTGGTGGCTCATCACAATGGATCGTTTATTTCGGAGCATTTGATTAGTGTAATGCCAGCCGACACATGCCATCAAATCAATGTGCAGCCAACGGAATCGGAGCAAATGGATACGTGTGATGAGAGTGATGATGAGCCACATATCAAAGATGTGACCAATGATTTTCGTGAATTGTCATTGCACCAAATGGACCATGGTTGCAACAATATCGACAATATACTCGAAATCGATTTGAGCCTTGGATTAAACTTAAAACAGATTCGCTCACGTATTTTCGAAGCCAAATCATATCAAAATCATTTGATTTTGAGTTTCTACATTGAATCCGATGATTCAGATTCAGATGAAGATATCCCATTGTTTCGGCTTGATAAATTGGAGTTTGAGAAGCGTGTTTTGCAAACGGTCGCAAAAATCGGTGCCAAACGATTTCGAAAGTTGACAATATGTGGTAAAGATCAAATTTCCATTGAGTTTTTGCAATTGTTGAAACCATTGTTGATGCGACTCAAGATTTTGAACATCGAAACGTATTCAAATAGCCAGATTCTGCATGCGTTACCCAAATTTTGCATGAACGTGAGCAAAGTACAATTCTGTGGCTTCAAATGGCGTGGTAATATCATTCAAACGATTGATGTGAAAGCTTGGCCAACACTGACACAATTGGTTTTGAAGTATGTTGAATTGGATATTCGAAGTGAAACGGAGAACGGGCAACAATTCCAACGATTCATCGAATTGAATCCACAATTGCAAGTTTTGGACCTTGAACCGATTGCCGATGCAGCGCTGTTTAATTGTATTTCAAGTAATTTGAAAAATCTGCGATCATTGACGGTCACACGGCCGGACTGCAGTGATACAGCAAACATTGCCGATTCTCTCAGCCGATTGAAGTATTTGTCAACTGTCATGATCACGACATTGGTTGTCAAACAAGGCGAACTACATTTGATTTCAATGTGCACGGAACGGTTTCATGCTTTTGAGCTGGTTATACTCATTCAAAACTATGAGACAGATGAGGAAGAAGACTTTGAACGATTGGCTGATTTCCCAGCAATATATCACAATGGATGTCTTTGCGACTCGGATAACGAGCGAAGTGTTAGTTTCGGAGAATATTTGGACGAAGTGGCGATTCCAAAGGAACAACCAGCACTAGTTTTGATCGTCAATACACCGAATCCAAACAAATCAATTGATGCAACACACCATGATGACACGATTGACATGTTTGAAGATTCAAAGAAATTTTACCCAAATGCTATTGAACTTCAAGTGCTGAAAGAGGAAGATCACTTTACCTATGTCCATGTGAGCAGCGCATAGATATCCGACACAGTCATTCATCAAAGTTCATTACCTGATTGCGTTACATTTTAGTTTTGTATTTTTGTTGCATATCTGTATTGCTAAATATTTTGCCACATTATTTCTTTGATAATGGACGTAAGAGTCCAAGGTACTTACAAGTCGATAAATTATGCAAATTTTGTATTAGTCATTTGTTAGTGAATAAAATGAAAATGTAAAAGAAAAAAAAAAACCAAACACCAAATTTCGATTGATCAGTTCAGAGATCAATAAATTAAATATATTCAATAAATAAATTAAAAAAAGAGTGACTTTTTTTGTGTAAATTGTACAATTATCGATTAAATCGATCAAAAGGAATCATCGGTATGTGATAGTAAAAAGGAAATGGTGACGTCGTCAAGTACAAGTGTCCAACAATGACCATGTTTTCGTAGAAAATTCATGCACTCGTCACGCAATCGATTTCGTTTTTTACATCCAAATGGCAGAAAACGGTCTTTTTTATTGTTTTGAATGTATCGATAATGTGGATCATCGATTAAAAATGAAATGGGTTGTATGACGGCTGTTGCAGCGCATCGTTCACATTTGCACTCAAACTCCCAGTGCCGTTTGATGTGTTCCTGCCGTTGCACTCTGCTCCCTTTTATTTTATCACCGATATAGTTGATGAATATTTGTTCATCTTGTTTGATCGGCCGAATTGTGATGATGTATCCCTTGCCGTCTTTGAAGCCATAGCAAGCATTTGGAGCACAGCTGTGGTTGAAAAATGACAACGTGCCATAGATGGATTTTGTTCCGGCATTATCAATAAATGCATTGGCTGGAATGATTGCCGTATAATGCAGAACCAAGTGCATCAGAAAACGTTTGCTGCGATCTGTGTTGAAACGGCTTGTGATGAAATCCATTGTCATCAGACACTCGAATGCTCGATAAGCGCGTAGAATGGTATTATCTCGCTCCATTTTCGTTAAATTTAACATAATCCATTTATGTTGCGTGTAATTTTTGGCAAGATTAGATTTTTCAAAACTATTTATCATGCCATAAGCACTCGAAAAAGTTTTAACAGTCGTTAAAACCATTTGAATGGCCAATTTCACATCATAAAATTGATCCGAAATCTTATGAGAAATTGAAGTGCATTCAATTTTGTGGATTTTATTCGCTGAACGACATTCTTCGCTGCAAAACATGACATCATCGCAACGTTCACATTGGACGGTGACATTGTTTTTATGGCACGTCAAACAATTCGATGGCAAAGAGCTATTGTTGTTTCCATCGATCGATCCATAGATGATTTGTGAGAACGGCTTGGCTACACCAATGATTTGGCCCACATCGATGTCACAATTGGCGACAATGTGACGACCAAATAATTTGCTCGTATCCACTTCAAGTACATTGGCCAAATCTTCGTAATTTTTATTTGGTGGATAACTTAAACATGGCACAAACCGTTGCAAACGTTTTTCATATTTTGGCCTCAATCTCTCCGTTTTGCTGTATATTTGCCGAATGCCATTCGTTTGCTTCTCCAAAATTCTACTGCTTCGTTTGGGCACAATCTCTGGTAGTGGTTGATTTGCCTTTCTTTTCCGAGTTTCACCATTTTTTGATATTATTTTTGGTTCGGACCGAAAGCCACACAGCCAGATAGCAACCTCTTCGACAAAATTCTTCGGAACGCTGGCGAAACAATCAATAAAAAGTGCATGCGGTTCAGAAGCTTCTTTTTTCCATAGACTTTGCATATTTCCGAGAATTTTTACAGCAACAGCAATTGGGTACTGTGGAATGGAACAAAATGAAATTGAATTATTTTCTTACACTGAAATTTATTCCTGAATCTTTCAAAAATCATGAATTTTCATACAAATATCGCATGGCTCATATTACAATAACAAAACCGTTATCACATGGCAATATTTATATTTATATTACTATGTTTTTTCAACGATTCCAGAATATGAATTTAACTTACCTTTCGTGGAAAAACACTCAAACTTTCTTTTAACTGCAAAACAATCTCTGATTGCTCAAATAATTCCTTTGGTTCGACTATTTTGATTTTTCAACAATGATAGACAACAATGATAACACGAAACACACACCGTAATAAAATGTCACAAATTGACAAGTACAGCCAACCAGTTTCATGTGTCTATGTAGTTTGGCGCCAAATTTGCGCTGACAGCACAGCATCTTCATCTCTTAATTGAACGTATCAGTGTATCAACGTCCCAATGTACAATTAACGTCCGTCATCGTGAATGTATTTGTGTGCTGAAGCAAACACTCGCAACGTCAAAATTCATCTCATATTGACGCGTGCATTCTTCATTGCAAACATCCAAAAATTGAATTCCGCACATCACAGCATAGTTGGAGAGGTTTAGTGCTAAATAATACACATAAATTTTCAATTTTCGTTTGGTTTCGTTTCGTCATTTTGTTCACGTTAATTGTTAAATCATAAATACAGTGCACTGTCGGCTAGCTTGATTTCTGTTTTGTTATCCCGAATTCATTTGTTTATTTGATGTTAGTAATTTGCGTTTCTTTTCAAAACCGGCAACGAGCGTATCGACGATAAACTAACACCATACAAGGTATAGTTTTGTATTTAGTTTAATGCCAAACAATATTAAACAAAAAATAAATTCCATTTGCAACATCAATGGCGCCGATATCAAGCCAAATATTTCGTTTGAATCTCAACGCTTCACGCAATTGGTGTATTAATCATTGAAATTGATTTTCGTTTCGATTGTAGATCATATTTTCCGTTCAGACATAACACTGGAGTTCGAACAAAATGTCCAGAAAATTATTCATTTGGAACGATAGAAAATGGAGACTAATTAATGCAGAGGACGAGTACGATAAAGTCAATTTTTTCATCATCAAGATATTGTTCGTACGATGGAAGATGACCGTAAGAAAAGTCATTTTTTCTGAAAAAAAAAAAATCTATGTTCAACCATCTTTATTTTTATTTTGTCTATTTTCAGCCCGTTGCAAATGACGAACTCAATGCCGTTAGAATCGAGCTCAATAAAAAAATTGGCGAAGCATTTGCACAATTTGGCAAAATTGAAGTGGTTCAAACGGTATGCTGTTTTTATTTTGTTTGTGCTGCGAAATTTCGGTAGTTTAAAACGTCATGTGGCCGTCATTTATTTTAGGTATGCAATTGTTCACCAACCGATCATGATGTATATGTCACATTTGAACGCAGCGAAGATGCGTACAAAGCGTTCATGCACAATCGTTTTAAGCAAAAGGTGTCAAACGACTTGGATTATGTGATGCCAATAGATACATGGAAAATTTCGACGCGACAAACTAAATTGGAAGAAGTGAATGCATTGTCCAAACGAATTACTGACGTTGATAATGAGAATCCACAATGCATATTCAGAATTGACATAACCGGTCGATTTTTGCTTAAATTTTTCCGTTCATTGCTTCGCCTTTGTGCATTTTCAATAGAGGGTAATTAAAATAAATAAATATCATCTCCACAGTTTGGTTCATTAAATTTTACATTTTTTCAGGATTGGATTTGGCATACAAATTAGCGCCTGGCGATGAAGACTATGAAGAATCCTCTTCATTGGAGTTTTTTCCTGTGGGAGAGGCGATCAAGGAGGTAGAGAGAGATGAAAAAGATGATGAAGACACCGACGATGAAACCGATGCATCGGAATGCTCTGTCGAAACAGTCGTCCCCCAAAATCCCGAACCTGATGATTATTTTGACATGGAAATTGAAACAGACATATATGGTGATGAATATGATGCTAACATGGAGGACGGATATTATTGTTTGGAAGATTACGAATTTGAAAAGAACATCGCCGAAATTGTGTGCAACAAAGTTGGTCCAAAATTTAAAACGTTGACAATTCGACACGAGTACATAACACCATGCATGTTGGCATCTTTTGTGCCTGTTTTGCAAATGTTGCATACATTTAATATTCATACGGAGTACAATGGCAATCTGTTCTTTGTGTTGCCCGCTTATTGTCCGCAAGTTAGAAGTTTTCACTTGAATGGAATTGATATGGATGGAGATTTCAACGAAGCGCCCGTTTTAAAATGGCCAACATTGCATGAACTCTATCTATGCACAAGCGATTCCGATGTTAAATTTCTTGAAAAATTTCGAAAATTCATTGAACTAAACGACCAACTGGAAGCCTTGCAAGTTGAATGTGATCTTGATATTCCGACAATTCAAACCATCGGCAGAACATTGAAGAACTTAACGACGTTGGCACTGATTCGGCGCACGTTTGAAGGATTGAATGGCCTACTTGACTCTGTGGTCGGTTTAAGCGAATTACGTGGCCTTAAATTATCGGTGTTGAAAGTTGAAAGGCATCATTTGAATGCTTTAGGAAAATGTGCTAAACGTCTGTGTCGAATGCCAAACATGCAATTAAATACAATTTTTTTGAATTGTGAAACGGAAACTGATGAAAAAGAAAAATTCAAAAATCTTGAAGAATTCTCTATATCACATCATTACAATTGCAAATGTCATGGAACAGAGCGTATTGTCATTTTTCAGAATAAATGTGTGAAAGTTCCATTTGACAGTAACGTTTTAGTCTTGATTGTCAACACAAAAAAACCTATAAAAACTGCAGACAGAAAACTTGAAGCCGATATTATGGCTGCATTCCGAAAAACAACCAAATTCTTCCCAAACACCGTCGAATACCTTGAAATGGAGTCCAAAAACAACTACATCTACATTCAAGTTGGCAGCGATAAACCAGAGTAAAAGATCCGTTGAATTTATTATTTATCCAATAATTTTTCATAATTTTTTTTTTATTTTGTTTGTCTCTGAACGTGCATAAAAATCAACAGTGAATATACTTTGGTAAAAAAAGTGTCACTAACATTTATTCGTACATTAACATTTTTCTCGTCTTCACATATTTTTTTTCGTCAAATAATTTATTGTAGAGAGATTTTCGTATTATGAACATTCCACCCAATACAACTAAATATTATTGATAAATTTTAGAAAATTGTCAAAAACAAAAAAAAATCCAGTAAAATCAAAAATTAAAAATGATTCTTTTAGCAACTAACACAGAGGCAAAGTTTTGCTGTTTAAAAAATTTTTATAAATAAAATGTCTTTCTATTTTCTGTCAACAAATTATATGCGTTATCAAATTTAATTGTAATTGTAGCTGTAATTAACTGTCACGAATCACTGAGCGAAGTGAATAAAATGACTCAACTAATGCATTCTTTGGCTTTTGATTAACAATCAACTATTTTTTTATAAAAGAAAAAAGCCCGAATATTATGCATTGATAAGTCTACAATAGTTTATCAATGAAAATATATTTAGAATTTGGTTCAGAAAGAAAACTAAAACATTCCTCACCATAAAAAAACTTTTTCACATTAATTGAATCATATACATCATACTGTGTATTCTCGTATGACAATCGCATTAGGAATGAATATTGAAATTGAATGTGATGTATCGATGGAATGAACAAGATGAATGGATCGTTTGGTTCATTCGTGCCCACTATAATGTTTTGGACCGTTATAATATGGTATTCATTTCTGCTTTCCGTTTTTTTTTCTGAGCATGAATTACTGTAGCATGGAAACTTTTTGAAGGGAAAAAACTTTCGGCGAACAGCGATTAAGAAAGGCAGTAAATCATTGAGATTCAGTGGATAGAAGTTTTGTCACTTGTGCAATTGCCAATGAGTGGAAAGCGAGAGAATGACTTTGAGAGAACTACGGAAATATACATGCTTTTGCCATTTCATTCACTTTTCCACAAAATGTTGCTTAATTCGGCATTCGATGAGATTTTGTTTCTTAAGTTTTCGTTTGGTAGCTATTGAATTGATACGGCACGTCTTGCAAAGCCTAAGAATCGTCTTTTTACTTGAGTCGACGCGTACAATGTACCATTTTATGAAATCAATATCATTTTCTATACATATTGCACACATATATCTAAAAATCTAGCTAACGAATATTCCACTGAGAAATACGTTCAAGTAGAATGAGAAATTGGTGGAAGAAAGTACAAAAGCAAACAATATCACATGAAAATAATAAACAATAACACAAAATATAATAACATGGGTTTTGTTAAAACTTTGTTCTTTAAAGTTTAAAGTTTTTGGCATCGTTGTTGCGTCCTATCGCCTGAACACTTGCACAAAAGTTGTTGATGTACAAAACCGGCGCATGTATTCTCCATTATATAAAAAAATCAACTAGAAAGAGTGAGTGAGAGAGTTATGAACGAAAAAAGATGGTTTTTGTAGTCTGTTCTGTGTTGGGTATTTGGTGTTGATGTAAGCGTTCTTCGGTTACGTAGCTTTGTGTGTGTCTGTGTGTGTTTGCTTGCTGTCATAATGTAATTCGTTTTTCGGTACAAAAATGCCGTGCTCGTGAAAATATTATAGACAAGACTATTTATAAAATTGTCTGTTGCCGTCGTCTTCTTCCTAGCAACTTGGTCTTACAAACTACTTGCTCATGCCAGCGAGCTATTTTCTCTCTCACACACACATACTTTCTCTCTTTGATGCTTGCAGCTTCATCTTTAATGTTGTATATACTCAGAGCGTGGATCCAAACAAACGATAAAATGAAAAAAAAAAGAACCATGCACCGGTGTAATAAACATACGTTATATTTCAACATACACACATCAAGCGCCCATGGGAGACTATACATTTTACACTATTCCATCCATTAAGCTTATTCTCAAAATACACAATTTTCTGCACACAATGAATCCATTCGAAGAGAGTAAACTTTAGAGTTTTTGAACGTCTTTTCAATGCGTAACCAACATATTCTCGATTGTTACGAATTATGAATCAGCACAATAAGTTATTGTTGCCTGGACACACATACAAAATGAAACAAATTGATGAATGAACGTGTATAGAAGAGCGAAACAAGAGCAGGGGTTCGATTGTTACACAAAACGTATGCTTTTGAATTCAAGAGATAGTTGATATTCGTTAACTGCAAAACCATTAAATTTTCAACCCTCTCTCTCTCTCTCAATGCATATTTTCATACACCTTTCATCCATCATATAACGAAAACATTGACAGACAGACTCATGGAACATCTAGACTGCTGGAAATGTTGAAATATTTTCCACAAGTGATAAAAAGAGAATAATATTGTAATTTCTACTTTTTCATTGATGGAGTAAATACGAAAAAATAAAGAGATATACTTTTCATACGGTTCAATGAGAGAAAATCACATCAAAGCCATTATTATGCTCTACAATGGAAACGAATAATGAAAAAAATGCTGCTGATTCATTAGGTTTGTTTATTATTGTGTGTTTGTATGAGTTGCCAACAATTACTCCGAATCCAGCAGCAATTTTTCATTGTAAAATGTGTGCAACAATACGTACAATCTGGATTTATTTTAATATCATTATACAATTTCATTCACTAGTTTCATTATCATTATTATTCGAGGCGTTAATATTACAACATTTTCAACAATTACAATACCATAATTAGTACAATTATTTTTTCGCTACTTTTTTCCATAAATAATGCCGAATATTCACAAACTGCTTTTCTGCTTTCATATTATGCTGGCAAAATTTACAATTTTTTTTTCTATCATCGTCACTATTCGAAGGTTTAATCATCTCTTATCACAATTGGAAATTATGCTTTTCGTACTCTATAAGTTGGAAGAAATGGTAGATATGATGTCCATTTGCACCTATTAAAAGTAATCAGTTTTATTTTATCTCGTTAATTTTACGAACAAAAATACATTTTTTTTTATTGAAATAATCATTTTTGCATTTTACCTGCGTAATGCATCCATTCCAACTGGAAAATCAAATGTCGATGAGGTCGGCTCGTTTTCATTCGAATCACTTTGGGTCAGTGACATTTCCTTTTCCCATGCGACCAAACCGCGTTCCTCTTTTGTTCCTAGCAATTCAATTCGAATGAGCATATATTTAATACAAAAATGTTGAATGAAAATAACCTGGGATAAGATTATCCAGTAAGCAGCCCAAAAAGCCTCCCACTAAAATGGTTGTACTTAATAACACAGACAATGTACTATCTAATTCTTCGATGCCCGTGTTGATAACGCCTTGATGTTTTTGCATCCACTGGCATAAGACCAATGGGAAAAATAACGAAATTCCAATAATGTACAGATTGCGTGATGATCTCAAGTCGACATATTGTAATGCTGACAAACCAAATGCTGTTATCATTCCAAACATCACGCAAAATAAACCACCGACAACCGGATCAGGAATCATAATAAATACAGCACCGAATTTATTGATAACACCTTGTAAGATCATTATTAAGGCCGCCCATTGAATTACTCGACGGCTTCCAATCTAAAGAAGTCGGTAGAGAGATGCAATGTAATAATGAAAAGTCAGAAAATAGGCTTGGAATTTCATTATTTGGGATTTTTCCTCTTCAATAGTCAAAACAGATCTATATTTACTTTTGTAACGCCGATAGCACCAACATTCTCACCAAATGTATTTGTTCCGTTTCCACTGCCCCATAGACCAGCTTTGAATCAAATTAAGACAATCATTAGATAGTTGTTCATATTTCTGTTTGAATTAAGATTGAAATAAAATACCTAAAATTGTGCCAAAACCTTCAATACCGATACCACGGTTTATTGCATGCAATGGCGGTGGGGGAGCGTTGCACATTTGCGACACAGTTGGATAGTAGCTTATTGATTCTACTGTACAAGCCAAAACTCCAGCCAACATTCCAAGAACACCTGTTTCGATTTACAATGGAGGTAAATTTGAAATTCAATATTAAAAATTACAAAAAAACATTAATAAAAAAGGTAAACAAACAGGTTCCAAAAAATATCCATAAAATCACAAAAAATAGTATATTCTCACCTGCGATTGTAACGGTGGGGGTGCCAAATTGTCCTGGATATGGAATGTAAAACCATGCGGAATCAGTGAGAACACGTATACGAGCATCTGTTCGTGCCGGATGTCCTTCTTCAAGTATATTAGTCACAGTTAAAATGGCACACAAGCTCCACATAATCGATATCGTAAGCAGAACCTATAAAACGACAACAATCATTATTAATCAAACGATATAAACTGGTTATCTGAAATGATGTAAAATGGTTATCGAATGGAGAAAAGAAAACAATGTTATGCAGGCTTGTCGGATTTTCTTTCTCGCTGCGAATAATTTGATATTTTTGTGGATTTTCACTTCAAAAACTCAAACTCGGTTATGAATAAATAAATAAATTGTGGATACACTCAAACTGTAGAGATACACATCATCTTCATCATATTATAGTTTTACTCTAGCTTTGTCTCTGCGGTGTATTTCTATCCATAATTTGAATTTTGAGTGAAATTCCACAAAATTTTCAAATCATGACATTAGTAAAAAAAAATCTCAGCTCGTAACAAAATCCGACAAGCTTAATTTAATGTATGTTCAAGAAATTTATCACGAACCGGAAATAGTTTGAATAATCCACACCAACGTATTTGAAGTCCTTCGTTTTTACGATAAACTGGAAATGGAAATTTTACATCGGCCATTACTTGCGAAAATAGTGTCAATAGAAACGATGTGCTGTTTCAACGAACGAAAATAAATAAATGAAATTATTGTTGAATGGGAGGTGTGTGTGTGCATATATATCTTTTTATAGCCTTTTTGCAATAAAATATAATAAATCTGGTCATTTGAAAATACCTAACAGCAATTCCCCAGTGTTTCGATGCTGTTTCACCCGCATGCTGAAACAGTGTTAAACCAACAAGAGCCACCGTTGGAACAATTGTGAGGGGAGTAATAATTTTCAATAATTTCCCGACAAAACCCGTAAATCCAATCACTAATTGAAAAACAGCTGAAACAGCTATCGCACCCGATATCTCACGCATCCTTAGTTGCCATAATTCCGTACGGTCTTCTGGTGACATTGCATTCAGTTTATCTGGATTTGGGCATTTCCATTGTGGCAAATTGAGAATAGCAAGCACCGGCACAAGAAATGAAATTGTGCCACCCTTTGTTTGTTTCAGTGAAAGTAGAGCACATGAATTTTTTTTAGAGAAATTTAAATTTGCCATTAAAATTCTTCAAAGATATATAATACCTGTACGATTGGCAAACGACATCCCCATGTGACTTGGATGTAAGTAACAATCCCAGTCACAAATATCATTGTCGAAATAATTAGTCCACGAGCTGGGTCCTCATCACTCATGCATAAAGCCGGTGTTAAAATAAATGGAATCGACACAATTGCTCCAATCATTGTCAAATAATGCTGAAACGCCATCGGAATGCTGAGATACCATGGTGGAATATCATCGATTCCATACAAGATGTTTGAGCCACGTTTTTCATCATCACAGATGCTGACGCCATTCTCCTGTTCAATAAAGTAAAATCAAAATGAGCCTTTTCTGTTCCGAATTGTTCATCGAATAAAAAAAATACTTTTGTTTGGTTATTTTGTGCTTCAGTTGCATGCAAATCGCTCAAATTGTAATTTTCCATCACAAAATAAACTCTAATTTAATTCGACAATTTTACGGTTTAAAAATATACTCTCTGTGTAATTACCACTATTCGCGACGCGACGCGACAAACAACAGATCTGTGTTGAACAACGGGATTTCCTAAAATGTACTCGTCCCGCCAATAATTTGATTTTATCTTTGAGCGTAAAACAATTTCAAAAGTCGAACACGAGCGATAAAGAGCGTTAAGTGATTTGAATGATTTGTCTTGTTCGACATTCAAACACACAATCGACCATCATTCATTTTGACTGTAGCCAAATACACATGCACGCACACAATCAGTGTGGCACTGTTTCAGTGTGTCAAACTATATAACTACATTATTAAAACAATCACAGCCGCGTAGTGTTTGTGCATCTCAAGTGCCCAACAAGAATTCGGCGACAGAACGAAGTTTTGTCATCATCGGCGGTGTTTGTTGTTGTTGTTTCTAAATGTAATCGCACGAGACTTGTGAATAGCATTGAACTTGTAACACACACACAAAAAATGTTTGTGTCAAATATATTGAATTCACTCCGAATTGAGACTAAATGAAAATCACACATGAAGCGACCGCGCTCGCGCCCGCTCGATTTCAATGTGCAAATTATTATTCGTTTGCTTAAGTTGTCTATTATTAAAATTTAATTAGCAGTAATGCAATTTCATTTCGAAGCGTCGGCAACAAATTTTGTTGTAAAGTGTGTGAGAGAGAGAGAGAGAGAGAGAGAGAGAGAGAGAGAGAGAGAGAGAGAGGAAAAAACACATTTATTTATTATACTATGCAAACAATTATACGAGTTTCATTATCAGAATTATCATCATGTGTGCTCTGGTGCTTGCAAATCAACCGTGATGATCAGATGAAATTTAATCTATGTACAATTGTAAAATTATATTACTTGAGGTAATTGATATTGTTACGATTTTTGTGTGTTGATTTATAATTGTTTTATTTACTTTCGATGTAAAAAAAAATTACTGAACAAATGGTGATTGTTCGGATGTAATGAAATATTTTTATTTTCTACAAATGATATTTTGCATATGTCGAAGTTTGAGATGTGCTAAAAACACCACTTTGATTGAAATTAATTCTGATGCTGAATTCATTAAATTAGTACGGTTGTGTGAATGAAAATAAATTCTGATTCGAAGGTTTGTTTTATTGATTTTTACATTGCGCACATAATCACTATTGCTTACACAGCAATTCCACAACCATAATTCGTCTATTTTCAGTTCTTTTTTTGCCGATAATATTTTGATCAGCGATATCTGTTTAAAATTCATTAAATATTGAACATGACATTTATTTTTATGAACACGTGCTGGACCGCATTTTTGGTTTATTTATTTTGATTTTAATTCTATAATCTCTATTCTCTTGGTTTTGATTCTATTCAACCGCTCTTTTCATTATGAGAACACTAGAAAAAAATATGAGAAACCAAAAAATCAACAAATATTATTGATTACGTCGAAAATCAACAAATATAATCTATGCGGAAAATCTAACAAGTGTAACCACATGAAACCCAAGAAAATAAAAACTCTGCGACAAAGAAAAGCAAATACGGCATGTAAATTCACGAGAAAAAGAGATGACTTAACGAGCGTTTGTTTATGTATCGTGGATGGCATAGGCTGTTAATGTTTTGTGTAAATCCTTGAAACGTGTGTGAGATGACATTGAGTCGTGGTGGCACGTCTGAAAATACTACATTAAAATTATTATTCCTAGTTGTGATTGTAATTTCTCTCATGCTCCACCGAAAATATTTTGTCATGGTTTACTTGTTTTTTCATCTCAACCATTAAGCAGCCACCCATTATTATTCTATTCCCCCGAAAGACATCGTTTATTTTTTGCTGTTTGCAAGGCAAAAAGAAAGTATTCTTCTTCATAATCATGTTCTATTTTTAGTATGTTCGTCTGTGTCATCACTTCACATACGACACCACTCTCAAAAAAATATTTACATAAAATGTTCGCCGTTTAATTCCTCTAATGTCATTGCATTAAACACGCAAAATATGTTGAGACTGTTGAACTCAAAATATGCGCGTGTGAGCATTGTCACATTTGGACGATGCTTTTCTCAGTTTCGAAACTCCGTTGACACTTTATCATTGAGGGTGTTTGTTTTTTTTGCGCTCGAAAATCAAGCATATTTTCGCAATTAAAAGCGTATATTTTCATTTTGTCACATTGTCGACTATGACTCTTCGGTATCAAACCCACTTCGAGATGTTTCGCACATACATACGCACAATGTACGAGCATAAATTTCCACATATGGAAAAACATCAACTCATTTAACCTTTGCACCACGAACAACATTAGCAGCAATAGTCGCTTCACATCTCCGTGGATATATGTACGCATAAAACCGGAAAATGAGTGTAAATGAGAACTTTTTAAAAGAGTTTAATTCATTTGTTGTGTTTGTGCAAACGTTCAGTAGTTGTTGCTTTCGGTGTGAATGTCTTTACACATACGCAGACCTAAGTGTGAGTGATGGAAAAATTGAACAAATTCACAGAGACGACGATGAGCAAAAACACATACATTCAACAAGCCAAATCAGAAAAAAAAAACGAATTCGACTTAAACGTGGGTGTGTGTGTGTGTGCGCTGGCAGTTGAAATGTGAACTGTAAAAAGTTTGAAGTGTGCATATTTTATGTGTGTTCCGAATTATACATCGTATTTGCGGTTGGAATTATCTGTACTTTAGGTATTTGACAACGTCAAGAGCAAATGGTTGAAAGATTTCGACTCACATACACACTTGTTCTCACATTTAAAACTTTCTTGCGCTTTGCTGTACATCAGCTACATTTGCCATTATGAAGCCATTATGACACTTTGTTTTTCATCAATTTGAATTAAAAGTCTCAAAGCACACACACACACACGCTCACATTCGAATGCACTCCATTCAACGCAATTTCCACTCATTAAAGTGTACCCATTGTTCGCTCGAACAACTTACTTTGATAACTACAAAACTGAAATACAATAGTTGCAATTTTCAAGCGACACATATTTTTTTTTCTTCGTCTTTCCACCACTACAGTGGCCATATGTTAAACGTACAATGATGGAGTTTGCTGAACAATTTTGAAGCATTTAATTCTTGAAGATTTATTTCAAAGCGATGAAGAGATCCGTTCTTTATTCAATTTTTATATCAAATAATAACACAAATTACTTGAAACTTTAAAACTCATACTTTTTTAATTTAAATTTTTCAGTGTTCATATATTCAATTAAATTCAATGGGGAGTTTTGATAAAAAAAATTAACAAAAAACACGATTCAACCCCGAGATTAAATTGAAGCACATTGTTAAATTGCAATATTTTTTTTAATGATTTGTATATTCAATGTTTTTCGCTTCGAACTCCATTTTTTTTAACCACGGGGCATATTTTTTATTATGTGTGTGTGTGTTCTTATTGTCCGGTATGCGTCAATTTTCGACATTAATTTTGGGGTTTTCATTTCAAAAATAATTGTGATATAAATGTCCCCAAAAATTATAGCGCAAAATATTTTTTTCGTTGATTTTCTGTTCGATTCCATTTTGTGCGAATTATGTGTTAATTTAATTATTGCAAGAAAATAAAAAATGATGAAAAAAATATATCATCTCAACATATTTTCAGTGCATATCTCTGCTCGTGTATGGCAGAAATATTTGACATAATTCGGAATATTTTCGAAATATTTTAATCTATAATACGATATTGAAAAATACACCAATAAAAATGTCATTTCACAGATGTTTGCATCTTTTTTTCACTCATCAATTACCACGAGTGAGTTATTTATTGAAACCACGTACCGTTCATATGTCAAAACAACACCATCGGAAGTGTATCGGAATAAATTCTGACAATTATGACGCATTTTTGAAACAAACAACCAATTGTAAAACTTAATAAAGGGGTCCCTTTTTTAATGAGATAGTAATATTCGTTTGTTTTTTAAATAAAAAAATGGTTAATTGCAACTAATTTATTACCAACGGTGCTAGAATTATTACTGTTAAAAATCGGTTAACAATGTTTCAGGGAAACTGAGAAAAAAATCACGTGGCAAATAACATCTTATTTTGTTTCATTTTAGGAGGTGTAATGCGCGGATGAGCATTGAACACATTTCCACTTTATATTAATAAAAGAAGTAACACTTCTCCTCAATGTGATCATGGTAGAACTGAACGATATCAAATGACATCAAGTCTCAGGAAGCGAAGAATAGGCATGAGAATGAATCGTTTGATTTTCCCACAGCTCCAAAAATAACCTAACGTTATTTGATGCCGGAAATTTCCATTTAAAAGTATTATAAATATTCATTTCGATATGTCATTTCTCTTATTTCTAATTAGACGAAAAATTTTAATTAAAATATCTTTCTGTCTAACGAATCAAAATACGGCGCATAAGTTGGATCATTTAACAATGAAAATGAATTGGCCAAAGAAGAGAATGGTGGAAGAGATAGAAAAATATCAGAATAAGAGTGGATATCAGAGCAGTAAGATATAGGTATCTATCTACCCACCTGTGTGTTTACTGCTAATTTTATCCGGCAACAAAATACTTTCAGTCTTCATCGTCTATAAACATCACATCCGCCAAATTCTTTTGAGTTCCTGTTTTTCGTTCGCACATTCACATAAATTTCAATATAAAATGATGGACCATACGAATGAACCGCAACCTCAACATCAAATGAATTTGCAACGTGACAACCAGCAAATGCTACGAACACACGTCACACATACAAAACCCTGGCTGTTTCCTGTACAACAATTTCACAATGCAACGTATTTGTGCGGTAAGTGTATAATCGGAAGGAATGAAATGTAAATAATGCGTTTACAGTGTAAACTTTAACTTTTAACTCCTGCCTCAAAATACAACGCGGAGAGAAAATGATTTCCATTGTTTGCCAACGCTAATGAAATGCAAATTAATTCAGTAAATACACCGAATTAAATGACATACAATGAGAAAGTTTTCTAAATGTTGCAACAACGGTGGTGTTCTTGCAAATAATAATCTTGTTTTACAATGTCACACCGCCGTGATAATTTTGACTTTCTTTTTACGGCCTCGCTCAGTTTTGATATTTTGTGTACACATTTTTGGTGTGGACTGTTTTTTCGCGATGTCGTTGTGGCCGAAAAAGTTTGGAAGTTTTGAATTGCTTGGGAAAAAAAATTGGATTACTTGATTTGCACCAGAGCTGTTGACAAATTAGTTATTTTCTTGTCAGAATATGATTGAATGAATCATGTTTTTTCCTTAATGAAACATGTCACAGTTGAAATTAACATTTAGTCATCACTCCGGTTTTACTGTCGTTCTACGTTCAGACGTGTGTTTGATGATCTACTGAATTTTCTGTTTTTATTTGGTCGTGAAATGGTCATTGGCCCTGTTTTTCCAATACATCGTTTTCATCTTTCCCGTTGAAAGATGAATTGTGGTGTCATAGTTTTTGCATCACATGCATCAAAGATGTGTGAAAAAAAGACTAGCGAATTTCAATTCAATTGATGTCGAAAATAAACGGGAGCTGTCATCTAATTCATCCATCACCGAGGATGGAACATTTCAGCGCGTACGTCTAACATTGTACTTTTCTACCATCTTCCATGTTTCAACTATGCATGAGTTCATATTTGAAACCATGCTCAGGGGTCTTTCCCAATAATTTACACAATAGTTTCGAGTGTGTCTGTCGTGCAATATACCATAATTACGTATTCAGTTTCGAAACCATCCAGCTGATGTCAATGCAAAGCCGATTCAAAGCCATTTTTTCCCATTTACGTTTTTCAATTTTGTGAAGAGTAGAAAATATACATGTGCACATCGACCATTTCACACCAAAAACGAAGAGAACACAAAAATATGAAAGCAAATAGCAAACCAATCTTATTTAGCTCTGTACACACCGCCAAGTACACACACACACACATAGCAAATCTATCAACTAAAAAACCCCAATCAGCTAGATTGTATGCACCGGTTGTACTCGACTTTCGTTTTTGTTGTTTTTGTCTCTGTATGCTTGCAATCAATTTGATAACGTTCGTATGCCATGAACACGTCCGCAATAGATAAAATCCAACGCTACAAAACAATCTATTCGAAAGTCGTAATCCATTCAGATGCCATTCCCCTTCTATTTCTTGTTTACACCGAAACCGTAAAATTGACAGTCACACCGACGAAGAAGAAGAAAAAAAAATGGTGAAAAACTAAAACATTAAAAAAAAACACGAAGAATACGCTTTGTTGTTACATTCTCCAGAGATTGAGGCTTATCAAGGCCACAGTTGGTTTAATCTGTTGAACGAAAAAAATGAGTTTTTCATCAGTTTGACTGCAATTTGTGGGTGGAACTTTCCATCCGTTCAGGGGGATTTTTCTACACACGCACTTTTTTCGGCTATACAAAAATTTTCACTTACACGAAAAACATGAGCAACAAAAATCGGATAATATACAACTTGTACGGAGCAAATAACCAAATTTATTATAATATTCAGTGTAAACAGAAAGAGAAAAATGCGGGCTATACCATCGATTTATGTGCAACGAAACATCTGTTCCCAATACACACATTATGATTATTATGCGTACATATTGAGTTACGGCGTAGCACATTTTAAGTGAATATGTTTGTTTGCGTGCATTTCACTTGCATTCATGCAATTTAGCGCACTGTGATCCGGGGAAAGCATCTAACTAAATAAAACTAATAAATAACAGATTAGTTCATTCGTTCGACTAAAAATGCATCAATTTCAAATATCTCACTGTTTTTCCGCTTTCTAAAGAAGTTACATATGAACAAGGGTGAAACACGAAACTGACGCGTAAATATTTTGAATTGAAGGGGAAGCATATAGTTTCAATTCATAAATAAAGGAACATAAAAAATGATTTTCAAAATCCTACCTTGAACCTCTTCAGAACACTTCATATTAAACAAATCATTTGTTTCAACTGAAGTTTTTTTTTTTTGATAATTTTTCATTCTTCAAATTTCTTTAAAAAATATTTCGTAAAATATTTGCTCTAAACCGATAATACCATATATTGGCACTAAACCGCCACTTCATGGAATATTCATAAAAAACACATTACCTTTCGAAAATCTAATACAGATCGGAGATATACGATAGTAGTCGCTCAAAAAGTTGCTTTCTTATCGATTGTTGAAAACAGAAAAATAAGAACAAAACCAAATGACTTTTGAACAACCGTTTGTTTGTTTTTGCAAACAGTAATCCATCAGTCGAATATAAATAGGAATAACTCATCTGTAGACATGTAGACTAGTCTACAATAGTAAATATAAACTTATTTAATTGGTTCAAATTAATTTTCATTACGATTTCCTCTCATTCAATGAACATGAAATTCAAAACTACAGTTCAGTTGAATTCGTGAGTGAAACTAGAACACTTATTGCTTTTTCAATTCAATCGTTTTGCTTATCAATCGATAAAATGTTATAGATTTATTCAATATAATACTGGTTTTAGCGTTTTATTTACGCGCAATAAATGCTGTGTCATTCCATCCGATTCAACTTATAAACACGCCTCAGCTACAAGCGTGACAAAAACAAGTATTTTTTTAGTATAAAAATATTAAGAAAGCGTTGAGTAACTTTATTTGTTGTACAATATTTGTACAATGTTGAACCAAGTGTTTATCGGAGTTTTTAAAACGTATTCAATAGTAGAAATGTCACGTTTAAAAATAGAAACAATCAAGTTATTGATTCTATTCTCAGTGTACAAGTGTGTTTTGACAAAACCTTCAATTTTCAAGTCACCGGATGATGGTTCGAAACTAATTGTTATTTCTATGGATGGTTTGATGTTCAGCCAGGTTCAAGAGAATGTTATGCCATTTGTCACACAATTTTATAAAAACGGAGTTCATTGCCCACGGCTGCAGCCAGTTTTTCCAACAAAAACTCTAGTTAATCACTTCTCTATTGCAACAGGTATTATATTATATAAACCGATTATTTCAGCGAAAAAAGTGTAACACGTACATCAGTACGAATTGAAAAGATGTGAGAAAAAAGAAAGAAAATCGTGTGAAAGTGTCAGTAAATCTGTTTTTGATGAAAAAGGATCGATATTGAAGAAAAAGGTTTACTTTTTTATTCTTACTCAATGATTCTTTTCTTTTTTTTATACTTTGTAGGTTTGTATGCAGCCAATCATGGCGTAACTGCCAATGAAATCTACAACAGAGAAAACGGTCGATTGCTTAAATACTCGCGTGAGCTCTTTATGTTGAAAGACGACATAACACCAATTTGGACGCTCAATGAATTGGCCGGCAAAAAATCAGCTGTATCCATGTGGGCTTCGGCAGAGTTTGATTTTCGTGGAAAATCGATAAGCTACCATGAGCGGTTTGATAGAAAAGTGCATTGGAAAGCACGTATTGACAACATTATACCGTTGTTAAAGCGAAATGAGTCACAAGTAAATTTTGTGATGTTTTATATCGATGTGCCCGATTTTCCAAGTCATTCATTTTCTATGTTTTCAAAACAAGTAAGACCACTTAAATGAATTCACATTGCTACCATTCGATAAAAAACAATATTTTTTCATTTCAAAATTTTCCGTAAATTCACAGGTGACGGAAAGTTTGCAAGATATGGATAATATGGTGAAGTACTTGAGCGAACAGTTGAACGAAGAGGAGCTCTTGCATAAGACTGATATAGTATTATTGTCAGATCATGGGATGGATACATTCTATTTCAATAATGAAAGTGTCGATAAAAATATAATCAATCTTTATCGAACGTTGAGCAATGACTCTTGCAACATGTATGGAGCGTCACCTGTCTTTCAAGTCATTGCCAATGATGGATACAATCAAACTGAAATTTGCAAGCGGTTAAAAGAAGGTGCAGCCCAAAACGGAAATTATAAAGTCTATACAGATGATGAGTTGGATGAAAATAATTGGCACATTCGAAATGAGCAACGTTTCGGACCTTGTACAGTGGTGGCTGAACCAGGCTTCGTTTTTCAAGACCTATGGGTTATGTTGAAGAAGTACACCGATTATGATAGTTGTAAGTATTTTAGTGTGACGTTCATCTCTATCTATCTGTTGAATGACAAAATTGTGTAATTTTAAAATAATCCGGCCAGTAGATAAGTTATGAATTAACACTCGACGGAGTGATAATCAATCATCCTAACAACATTTTGCTGTTTTTAAATGATTATTCGATTTAATCTTGAATATGAATTTTTCTTTTATCTCAATAGTGACACCAGACACAAGGTTTGGCGTCCACGGATATGACAACAGAGCACCGAGCATGCAAGCAGTTTTCATGGCAAATGGCCCGAGTTTTAGGAGTGGTGTTGGGATTCCGCACATGCAAAATATTGATTTGTATCATTTATTTGCGAGACTTCTAAACATCGGAGAATTGGCCACAAATCTTAATATTGATGGTGTTGATCGACAAGATATATGGGATCAGATGTTACAAAAACATTGAACAAAATATCTGTAAATTATCTGACATCAACTAATTAAGCGTAGGCTACAAAATATTTACTCTATTTGAGAGAGGTAGAGAGAGAGAGCGAAATGAAACATAGGTATGATTGGAGTTGAAGAAAATAAGATAATAGGCATACATTATTAATCTCAATTTGAGATAGTACTTAATTGTTTTTTTTTTATCATCTTCTAGCAACCTACTTGATACATTTTTTACTCAATTTTTTCCATTCCATTTAATTGACATCTTGTTAAAAGTTTAAAGTCGATAATATTAATGTCATTAACACTTACCTCGTTGTTTAAAAAAAACGCCTTTTAATTGCTTTCCTGTGTCAATTTGGTTAGTGATAAGAAAAACATGGTTTATTTTTGAGATAAAATATTTCTTTATTTCTATTTATGTTTCCATTCTGTGTACGATTTTTTTTGTGTGAGAATTTCTCCTTGTAATTAAATACTTTTTTTTTAAATATTTTATTCAATTCAATTTGTAATCTTACATTTATGAATAGCATAACTTAAACTGTATCAATTGATCTCTTCTTCAATAATGTCCGAAGAGACATAAAATGTATTTATTTGAGATGTTTGTGTGCAAATTGTTTCTTCCCATCTGATAACTTCTTTTGCAACTTTACAAACTCAATCTCTATAAATGTATTTTGCCACCAAAACCAAATGTTAGCGTGTGTGTTAGTCTTTATTTTGTATATTTATTTCCAAAAAAAATCGTCTATCGACTTGTAACAAACGTTGTTATGTATTTTCTGTTTGGTAGAAATGAATTGAAACGTAAAATTATTATCGCGCGAATAGTTACAAAATGTGCACACATTTTAATTGATATTATTTCTCTGGACCTGCTTAAATTGTGCGAGAGAATTAATAAATAACATACATGCTTCACAAAATACAGAATATCGTCCATAAAATATTGTGGGCAGTTGGCATTGTGTGTGTGTGTGTGTGTTCATGAAACATTTATGATTTGTGAAAATGAATCTAGTAGTTAATATTATGTGAACGCTATGATATATTTGCAATACTAAATGCTATGCTGTTGTTTGTGTACGGAGCGGTGGTGTGTAATTCACATATACATACCATCTCTCACATATTATCGATTAATTGTTTGTGCCCGTCCGAAACAACAAACCGTGAATAAAAATCAGTTTTACCCAAAAAAAAAAATTTTTTTTTTGCTTATTTTTGAATTGTGGCTCTGACCAAAAGCTGAATGCTAGTGCTGCCGATTGGTGAACGGCAGACATAATGTTATTCGACAGAAACGCGATAATAAGTTTTTCGGTCAACGTGCAAAAATGTTCTCTCGTTGCGTTAGTTAATTTTTGCGATATCCTGTTGATGATTAAATATTTAATGAGTTCGGCGAGTGATTTTGCTATTTTGCATGAATTTGGTTTTTGTTCATGTGTATGTGTCTGTGTGTGTATTGGGTTTTTATGTTTATTTTCCAGTCAAAATATTGCACATGTTTATTTAATAAAGTGTTATTATTCATGAATTTTCTCTCTACAATCGACTATAACTCACTGCTTACGTTCTACTGCATTCACAAAAAAACCCTGGCTTTCACCACTTTTGCATTATTTTTTCGTTTGTTTGTTTTTGAGGAACAATTTTATTTGATGGACCAAAAATCGGTTTGGCAGCAGTTTTGATATATTTTATACTATTTTAATATGAAATGAGTGATTGGAAAAAATGAGTACATGTTCCAATGTTGCATTAATAGAATTTTTTTAGTGAAAAATAATTTTTTTCATCAGAAACTATTTTATAAACATAATATTTCCAATTGAATCGAATCAAGCATTGAACCTTTGCAACTTTATTTTTTATTACTATTTGCATTTTCAATGCTAATTTATAGTGTGCATAGAACGAAAATATTCTGGAATTTACGCATTCAATTTAATGGAAAATAATTTCGCTTTACATAGAGATATTTTTCAAATAAAGTGGATTTAAATTCATTTACACGAAAAATGTTAGAATTACAATAAAAACAAAACAACTATATATCGCATTAAAAAAACACACACATCAAATTCCAAATTCATTTGAATGGGATGAAAATATTCGTTTGACTGAACATTTCAATTGTCTGTTAATAATTTTTTGTTGCAAAAGTTGATAAATATTATTTTAATTATTTAAATTCCATTTTCCATCTCATTCAACCCATCTGATTCAACCAAAATGTATTCAAAGTGTTGTCAATTTCACATATACTTGACGAATTGTTTCGTGTGAAATATTTTTTGTTGTTGCAATGATAATCAATAAAAGTGTCAAATTTATTAAATGTATTCAATTTCAAAAAATGTACGATTATTTTTTCGCGGAAAAAAATATATATTTGAAATGAGAATCAGGTAATTTTAAATATCGCTGTTTATCAATTATGAAGCCAATTGCAAAATAAACGACAATCTAAAATTGGTTATTGATTAGAATCCGCAAATAGTGTATTCATTGTAGGCAGTATTTTCTGTTTGGAATGGTGATGAAATATAGTTTTTGTTTAAATCGTGCGAACATTTATAATTACATTTAGTTTTCTATTTCAAAAGTCACATCGATAGAAATATACTGATCGTTAAATATACTTTTTTTTAAATTATCAATTAACGCTAAGTGTGTGTGTTTCTGTTTTCTTTTTTTAATTTCACTGAAACTTATTCACCGAATATATCAATAGACTTATGAGCTTTTGCACCATCATCATTTACAGATCTCTTCCACCTTATTCCTTAACTCTCTTTAAAACTAACCTTAGCTACGTACGACTATTTAATGAAAATTTCAATAATTTATCCTACCGTATGGGATATTTTGAAAAGATATTTTTTCATCTTCTTAATTTCTCCATCACTTATGTAATTTTGGCTTAATAATGCTGTGACCGTAATAATTTAAATGTTTACCTATTTACACTTGAAATTGTGTTGGTTTTGGTTTTGTTATTTTAAATTTAATACTACGAGTGTCTGTGATGGGGTCTAAAAAAACAGAATCAACATCGATATGGAATGTGAAAAAATCGACGGTGTGTCACAGGAAATCAAGAGGAAAATTGATATATTTTAGTATTCATTTTTCACAGATAGAGAAAAGTGTTTTTTAGGTAATTATTTTGCAGCATTAATTTTCACATGTTTTTTTTTTGTCTTCTCTTGAAAAGTTTTTCATTTTCTTGTTCATTTTTATTTAGTAAATTGAAAAAGGCACAAGGGAAATTTGTATTGGGGAAAAATAGATTTAGAATCATTCGGTGTGTGATTTAGCTTTGAATGTGTTTTGTTAAATCTAAGGGGAAAAACTTTCGAAAATGTGAAATGAATCACATTTATTTTTTTTTCGAAGAAGAAGAGATCTCAAAAATGTTTCGAAAATAAATCGATTTTCGTTGACCTTAATGCAATGGATCTAGGCGATTAGGTGGATTCAGGCGTTGTGTGGTGAATGGTGACTCTTGAATAAATGTGGTATTCACTGTTCCAATTTCGGTATTTATTGTTGTGTAACGGACACATGTATGTCGGACGTGATTGGTGTGGATTAATTGATTGCGGAAGCGAAAAAAATAGAACGGTAGCACGCAATCATAAATGTACATTTACCGAACTAACAAAGACCATATTTTTTGGTGTAATTTCATTGTTTTGCAACAGCATTCTTAATTTGTATACGTTATATTTACGATAGGGACCACTAAAATGTATTCCAGATGCATGGATAAATGGCTAGTGCATACCTTGTGATGCTTAACATGACATTTATCTTCGTTGTGCACATCCTTGTGTCGCATCATGTGTACCGAATTCCGTCGAGAGAAATAAAGAAATGAAGATAACTGTGTGGGGAGAAAGCGTAAAACACAAGCATATATTCACACACACTCATGCGAGTTATTGAGATGGAATAAATATTGCACGCATAGCAAGAGCAGAAGATGGTACGTGTCATGTGTTTACCTGAAAATCATGACGAGCGCGATAGATATGCGAAGCGTGGAACGTGTATATTTTTCGGTAGTTCGGTGTGTTCGGTTCCGATTTGTGCCACCAAAAGCAAATAAATAAATTATACGTCGAGTTTTGTGTGTGTTAGTGTGTATGCATTTGGATAATGGGCGAAAAAAATACCACACACATATCCCCCCTCTTTTTAAGAGATAGGGAGCATGCATGCAATGTTAACGTATTATTTACTTAAATTTGAATTTATTGGTGTATCCATGAAAAATCGTCTGGCGCAACGAAACAAACACTGGTGATATGGTGAACCTTGTTGTCGTCGTTGTTGTCGTCAGACTATTGTATCGAAATTCATGCAATTCCACCTTTAAAGCGCATTACTCGAGATGTGTATACAAGTTTGCATGCTTTGCGAGTGAGTGTATGCGACATAAAAATCCCATAGTCTCAAAGCAGCAATGGTGCAAATGGCATAGACACACCATACCACCGTCATCACCACCGAACGAAAAAAATATACTAACTACTACCAAAAATGCGCTCACATAACTTTTTAGACGGGGGTAATGCTTCCAAAAGAGGAAGAGAAAAACGACAATGACGACGACGAGAGATCGAATCGCCAGTGAATTGAATCGAACAAATATCATGTTTCAGGATACTTAAGTCGTTTTTTTGTCAACCACCTTCGCTCCCCCTTCGTTTTGGCGATATTATATCTAGTTTAGTCTCTTGATCATATGCATTTTGCATGCACACGAATTTTTTTCCATCGGTGTGTGCATGTATGTGTGTTATTTATTCGGGTGAAATTTACCAGACCAAACCTCAATTTTTTTTTCCCGTGCACGTGTATTTATAGTCTATTATAGACATTAGGTTTTACATATGAAATGTATTCGTGATTTGCATGATAAAATCATAATGCGCTTCTCTTTCCCTATGAAGGCGCAGAGAGGAAGAGACACACATACAGAGTCAGGTGTATGCAACGGCTTTATCAACAAAATCAATACGTATCAATGCATATTTTCATACGAGAGAGGAAAAAAAAAACATTTCACTCGCAAAGCTATTTAATAAATTCAGTAATATCGCGTGTGTGTTTGTGCATTTGTGAGAAGTTGACTCGATAAAATGCGCTGTTCATAAACTAAATTCAAACTAGAGTGAACAACATATTACCGAAGAATTTACGTGCGTAACGAACCCGTGAGTGGTTCGTTCTTTTGAAGTGATACTTCCTTCCGTGATTCAATGTCAATGTTTGATATAAACCGTGTTTGTCGCTTGATGAAATTGTTGCGATAGCAGTTTTCATTGAAATCGAGCTCATTACATGATGCGTGCGGAAAAAAATTCACACTTTATTAAATAAAACGTCTTTCTTGCGAAAGTGATTTCAATGTAAAATCTGTACCTTTAAGGATTTTGTCTATGTTTTTGCTTTAAATTTGTGAATCACCACAGCAACCGCCAAAATGAAGACACAACTACCGACGTTCAATGGCCTCTTCTACTTAAAGTATGAAAAAAAATAACAACGTTTCAATTTCATTTTCTGCAAACGCATTTCTGCCATTGCTACAATGCAAACATCTGTTTGGTTTCATTGGTTCATGTCCAATTGTTCGCACATCCAAAAAAAAACCTAAAGGAATTCATTCAAAATAGTGGTTCAGTGAAGTATATTGGAATTTTGCCCAATGTATAATGCCCTGCTTAGTTTTGAAGAAAAAATATTCAATTTCTTTTATGCTCGGGAATATGACGCGTTGGGCATAACAACACACAAAAAAAATGAATACGAAATTAAAGGCTTTGACGATTTATACGTTGGAATATGTCTGAAGAATATTTGTTTAAAAAAAGTGAGCGAAGGCATTTAGCAACCATCTGAATGTGTTTCCATGTGGTTTTATGTGCAACAAAAATGCTTTCCACCAAAAAATCGATGTAGGGTCTTTTCTCTTTTTCTCTTATGCTGAAAGTGTTGCTTTGAGACGATTATCAATTTGGCTCCCTTTTGTGTGGACATTAGTATTAGTTGGGTTGCTTACAGACAGAAAACAGAAAATCTCCTTTCGATTTATATCAACCATTGCTGCGTAACAATGGTTGTTGTGGTTTTATTTGTGATACAATTTTTTCTTCTGTCAGTTTATCCTATTGAAAATCAGCGTCATGGTTAAAAACGAAGCGCACCGGTACACAAAACTTACTAACTCAGCTTACGTGCATTCAAAATGGTGCACACTGAATGTGTCTCTTGACGCAAAGTTGTATACATATATCGAAAATCCACAATCCTGGATAGAAGTAGAGATATATATAGTTCGTGGAGTATGAGCAGGGGGCACAACCTGGTTTGCTGCTTTTATTTTTCATTTGATTTTCGTTTTCTCGCCGTGTGATAAAAAATACAAATACACATTCGATGAATTTTTTTTTTTCACTTGTTCTCAGTCCCGATATGCAATTCGATGACTTTAAGTTTTGTTTGTTGACTTGGCTTGGTTTTTTTTTCTGCTCTCGTCCTTCTACATATAATATGGGTTTGCCATAAAATTTACATTTCAGCTGTTGCCGTTCAGGCATCCCAGATTACCGCAATTCGACTCTAGTTTTATTCACGTACCTTATGCCCGACAAAATATAAATATAAATTTTTATTAAATTGAAATCGGAAAAAATGCAGTGCATTTCGAATATGAGAGAGCGTCATACGAATGGGGACTGTCGACAACACCATCGGGTCACAGAATGGGGAAGTGAAATAAAAAAAAGAGTCAAAGCTGCGAACAAGCCATTTCAATATGTTTTTTGCACATGTTCTTTACACTAAAATGCCTTCACATGCAATAAATACCGAGCAAAACAAATGGGCTTTCGCTCTCATGAAACAAACAATACGCGCGCACACACATGATACTAGAGAGATGTGACAATGCACGATGATATGTGTGTGGGTGTATGGTCATGACGAAAACGGAATCGAAATATCTTCAAAACAAATTTCTCGGGAAAATTGTAATATTGGCCAATATTTGATGCAATATATTTCGATATTTATGCTATTGTGGTGGAGGTGGTTTTTTTTTGTCTGTTCATTTTATCTGGAAAAATGGGGGGTATGGGGGCTTGTCAAGCGTTTTGTGTGTCGAAGAGTTTGTGTTTGTTTGTAAGTGTAAAGCGGAATATGGAAGCGTGTGTGTGTGTGTATGTTTGTGTATGTGTTATATTACGAACTATCAAAGCAAAATAAATACGAGCACAGAAAACTTATTATAAAATCCCAGATTTATAACGACAGCAATTGTAACAACAACAAACACAGTAGATGAGCTCAATGTAATTCCTTTCCATTACTACATTTTCTTCTTCCTCCTTCTTTTATTTACGTTGCATGGCTTTCAATTTCCATCAATTTCTTGCTTCCTCTCTTCCTTTTCTTGCTACTTCTTCTTCGTCTATTTCGATTTCTATATTTTCACATGACTATAAATTTTCCTGTGGTTTTGCACATTTCTTCCTTCCTCTCTTCGATCATTCTTTCTCTCTATCGCTAAGTTCAAATGATAAAATATCTTCTAGCTTCAATATTTATTTGTATAAAACGCACGGAATGAATCAATGATTGAAACACGGAACGAGTGAAAGGAATATGATAACAAAAAAAAAACCAAATTGAATGAGAGAGAGAGAGAAAGCGAGCGGGATGAAAAACAACGACTGAGACAAAACGATGGAATAACATTTTCATTCCTTTTGTTCAACGTTCAGTGTGTCTCGGCAGTGATTTTTCTTGTTTGTGTAAGTTTTGCATTTTATTCTTTTCTTTTCGATTATTTCTTATCATTCGCTCTTTGCAGCACAATTCCATGATAATCGATAAATTTTTATTTGCTTTTTGTCTACAAAGTGCATGATTTTAACGTCTTGGCTATTGTATAATATGACTGTGTCTTCTATCGAATTATATTACGCAATGTATTTTTTTATTTTCTATCTGGATGTGTGTGTGCGCGCCTTGATGATAATTCCTAGCTCTTTTTTTGCTATTTCTCAATTGTCATTTGTCCAATTCATTGGTATGTCTGGCGATTCTCATTCGTATTTTTTTTCTTTCGTCATTCACCAGCAAATTGAGAATACCATTTTGCATTCATTGAGTCTCAAGTACTTCTTTCTGTTTGCATTTCTCATTTTTATTCCCTGTTTTTTTTTTGCTATTATTATTATTCTCTTGGTAGTTTCGTTATATATATTTTTTTGTTGTTTTTTGTCGACGCCAGTCATTACGTATTCTTTTCGTACCAATTTATTTTTCTGTCACTTTGTTACTTTGATCTAGAAACTGCGATCAGTATTGACTTTATATTTTAGCACATTTTTTTTCTGTTCACTGCCGATGAAGACGACACTGTTGTTGGCTATGTCTGTTTATCTTTCGTTAATCCCGGTGTTCAACTTTCGAATGCAAATCGACGACTTTTCACTACACTAGTTAATTTTCTCTCTCTCTCTCTCTTTCTCAATTCATACTTTTTCTCATTCTGAACGCTCACATAAAATTGTTCTTCACGTAGCATTATTGAATGGCCATTCTGAATGATTGGTTATCGATTTGTGTAAAATTAACATAAATTGTTTCTCTTTGACCAGATTTTTTTTTTTGTTTTTGGTCGTATCTTCAGCTTCAATGATTGAGACTGTTTTTATCTTCTTTAACATTCCGTGATTACCTTGTAAGATTTGCTGGTGTTACCTATCAATAAAATACAATGCATATTTCTTCACATTTCTTTTACTCTATTTACAACCATAACATTGTTAGTTCTTTAGTTATGCTTATAGTTTCGCCCGCTAAATGTAATTGTTCAAAGTGTTTTAGGAATGCAAGTTAAAAATTAATTTTCAAATTTATTGTTATTGTCAAAAATTCAATTCATTTACCGTGCGAATAGCTCTTGAGCAATTATTTCACCATCATAATAAGACATGGCGATTACATGTGAATGAACGTGTATGTGTATTGCCTTAAAGACGCGTGTACATTTCAATCGTTACCCATTTTCCATATTTTTAGCTTAATAAATTTAACAGGCAGTAATTTCAATGTAAGTATATGTACAGGTTGTCCAAGGATGAGTTCAAGAAGTTAAATGTGAAAAGGCAAGAGAAAGGTACACATTTTTTTGCGGAATAGTGAAAGGGGAAACAAACGAAAAAAAAAAAACAAAAATCAGAGAAAGAATTCAGCTGAAAGGGGAAAAACAAAGCGAAATCAAAACTATTCTACAACACATAATGGATGAATTGTATGAACGCAAAATAATCTACAAATAAAACATGATTGATTTTTTTTAGTGAAATTGAAATAATTTGTTTTTATTGAACATTTTGAATAAATGTGTTTTTAAAATGAGAAAGGAGACAGGACAGGCAATGTTTAAAGATTGTTTCAAAATAAAAGATATGATTATGTGCTAAATATATTAGTATTATTGACGATCTTATCGATATAAATAAATGTGAAAAATACGCTCCTTAACAAATAAAACTGCTTAATTGTTTTAAAACACAAAACGAAAGAACAAAACTGCCAAACATTCTATACACTTGCTGCTTAAGAATTTTCAAATTTGTCTCTCTGTTCTCTTAACATCTAATTTTGTGTGTATGTGTGTGTTTTTCTTCATTAAATGTGCCTAAGTGTTTAATGCCTACATTTTTCTTCGACTCATTCATAAAAAATGGAACAATCAAACACAATGGTTCGATGTTCCATCATCGGCGTTTTGCTTGGTATAGCTACTTGTCTTACGATTCCATGTTCGATGCGGGGAAATGTATTCTTTTAACATAAATCTACACGCAAAATTGTACAACTATTTAAACTGTTTCGCTGTCTTAGTTCAAGTTTTTTTTTTTAATTTTCTTTTATCTACAAGAAGCTTATTCTAGTCTATCTGTGTGGTGATGGTGGTGGTAGAAGTACACAAATGGTATGACAGAAAGAGAGAAAATTCATTAACAAAATAGTTAAAAGACACAAAGAATGAATATCGAGACCCCGAGTTATTTTAATGCCAACATAGAAAGTTTAAAAACGAACGAATATTTTATTATTTTACAAAAACTGTGCGGAACATTAAACGAAAACTATGTTTAAAATTCGAAATGATTATGCGCTTGTTGGTAAAGAAAGTAAGAAAAAGAACCACAATGAACTAGGATCATTTTAAACTGAAAGTAATTTTAGTTCTCTAATGGAATTTTTTTTTGGGGAGCTCGGCGTTATGTGGGCAAAACTTTGTTGACCTCGTTTGGGAAATTTGGCCATGTTTAACTATAGTTCGGTGAGTTAATTTTAAATCCGAGTTGGGAAAATAATCAGATTTAATTGGATTCCGTGTGTCTATTTTAGTTTAGATAGTTTTTTGTTCGTCATACCGAGTAAATGTATGCATTTGATGTTTTGGCTGTGTTTGTGTGTGTGTGAATCCATTTCGAGATGGCCATTGTAATTTTCAGTTGCTTGAATATTGAATGGATTGTTTTGCCCAATTTTGAAAGTTGATATTTTGCCGAATACCATCGATATAGCATAATTGAGCAGCAATAGAGATGAAACGGGGCGGGTTTTGTATACAACGTATTGACTGAAATCCACATTGATAAATGCCATTTATGGTATATTTCAAATGCCCGTAAATCTATTGATAAATCTATTTTAATTACGTGTTTATTTAATGATTAAGCACATGCAATTTTCCGTTTTGCTAAACGCATCTGTGGGTGTTTGAGTGTGTGTGTACAGCGCGATGCACATGTGAGTGCGTTCAATGTTATTATTTTAGTTGAAGTCATTATTCAAACAATCAAGTCAACATTAATAATTCCGGGTAAACACTACAATTACTATTCTATTTGTATATATATACTCTTTGTTTTTCTCTCGTTTTGTCGTTCATTTGTTCGAATCGATGGAAAACGACCGATTGTAATAATAATTTTGTTTCTTTCCGCATACAACGTTGTTATGACATTTATGAAAATAGACAGCTTTTTTTAAAAAGTTTCTTTTGTTTAATTATGATATCAATTGTGTTGTACCGTGCACTAAGTTTTACATGAATTGCAGACGGTGAACCAAAACAGATGTAGTTTTCTGTTAAATATTACTTTTAATACACATTTTAAATAATGATGCTTTTTTGTGGTTGTTATTTAAATGATACATCAATTAAATACACACACACATTTGCATACATAGTGTCGATTGCACCATATTGCTGCCGGTTTTTTTTCGGGGGCAGTTTTTATTATTTAGCAAACATTTCTATGTTATCTCATTTTCCACTTATTTTTTCTTGTTCCAACTTATTCTATGCCATTGAGTTACTTAAACATTTAAATTTCTAAAAATTCACTATGATACACGAATTGGAATTTAACGGTTTTTAATTTATACAAATGGGTTTTTCGTTTTACTATTTTGGAAAATGGGCATTTTGTATGATAGAGAAAACCAAATTTCTCTAATGCGATCTGTTTTTATTTTAGCGAAGATTGTTTGTTTGAATTTGAAATTTAAAAAAAAAGATGAAGAAAGATACACTTATCGTAACGATGACTTACTCACAATAGTTATACAAAAGCTGATGAGACAAACTGGCAATCTTCATCACAAGATGAACGCATTGCCTGTTTGACTCGTTTTGTTTATTCTTTTGTTTTTGCTTAATATTTAGTGATTATCGCAACCGCGAGACCTTGTTTTCATGAAATGAAATCCATGTGATTTATTATACATTTACAATTTTTTACGCTCCCTAAATTCTTCTCAATTTGATCGTGATCAATTGAGTTTTTCATTATTTTCTTTCAATTATGAAACACATATCTTCTGATTTTTATAACTGGTAATTTACATTGTTGTGTGATGGGGGGAAAAATATAATTGATGTTGCTGGTTGTGGTGGAGGTGGTGGTGGTGGTGACGTGCTTAAGTGTTGCTTATCATTCTGTATATGCCTTTAATTCTTATTTGCTCTCAATATTAATATATGAAAATTCACGAAAAAAAAAACTTGAGATGTGTATCGTGTTGTTCTTTATCGTAACGATATATAGTTATAATACTTAACACAAATGAATTGTTTTGAGTGTTTAAATGCTTTTCTTTTTTCTCTTTAAAAATTAAATTAATACGATTTCGTATGAACGATGATATTTCTTTTTGTTTATTATTTTATTCCTTTTCCCCTAAAGACTAACAAAACTAAAAAATAAAATTTTAAATTGTATGTGTCTGTTGTTTCTAAATGTTGTTTATGGATCAATTAATCTCCATGTGTTATGTTTTGTTTTAGTACAGTAGCATATTGGTTGGCTTGTAACCCAGATTTTTTCGTTGTAAAAACAAGTGAATTTCACGGAATTTCGGTCGATCACTTTCGTTACGTTGCCAGCATTCGCACATCAAATCGTAAATTTCACGTGGACAATTCGGTGGCATCGGTGGTAGAACCTATTTTTTTTTGACGACCATGAACGGATTCGGATCGACGAAAAAAAAATGACAAAGGACAAAAGAAAATACATAGAAATAAGAAAACCATAAATAAAATTCATTTTGATAAAATGTTTTGTGTTTGTGAAATAACAAAAAAATCATAAACGGGTTAACAAATTGAATAAAATGAGTTTGTATGTGTCTTTGAATAGGACAAAAAAAGAGGTAATTCAACAACTCTTGAAATTATACAAAGTGAGATAGATATCGAGTGAAAGCGGAAAAGAGCGAAAAGGTTTCTATTGCTTTCGAGAGGTAAATTGATTTTAACATTTATTAAACGACAAAATGGAAAATGTGGGTCGCCTGCTCGTTCGTTTTATCACATTCCGAGATAATCTTCGTTTGTTCTACTATTTACACTTTTTTAATAAAATTTTCTCTTTGAAGATGTTATCAGTTCAAAATTTAATTTGGAAATGAAAAGTTATTCAAGTACTCTTGTACAGTTTCGATACTCTGAATTCCGGTATTTTAAGCTCATTTATTTCGAAAAACCCAGAGCCATCCGCATTATATTCCATGTCAAAAAAGATGATGTTGAAGCGAGGCGACCGTTATCTTTGTCCTTGCATAGCTTTTGAAGTATAATCTGCTCGTTGACCGTAGTCTTACACAGTGAAACAGATTATGAGCGCCTATTAATACTGCGGTCGAGCAAATTCATAATGACGCATTATTTTTGAACGTTTTGCCCAAAACACACACAATAAGATGAGGGTTTCTTCACCCACATTTTTTTTTTCATTTATTTCGAACCGAGAGTGAGACTCAAAACGTGCAAAGATAATGCCAAGAGTGAATCAATGTTTTTTTATTGCGCTATCGTTTCATCAAAAATATTATATGAATATAATGAAAGTGATTAAAATGAAAACTTTTCCGTTGACTCTTTGTAAAACATCAGAAAATTACAGCAAAATTATTTTCATTTGCCCAAAATTTGATTTGAAAGTTGTCCAAAGCTTAGAATTTGCCTTCGCCTTCCATTTATTCGTTTTGTATTTATTAGCAACGCAAATTCCCACTTTTATGAAAAAACATATCGTCAACGGTATTCATAGGAAAAATGCGTGAAGCCTTAGAAAATATGCGTAATCTTTTCTTTTAACCACATCAAAATAGTGAAAATTCCAGGTAAGCTATACTGATGGCATTATACGCATGAAGTAATTCGTATCGCAAATGTTGAAAACAATGAAAAGCAAGATGAGGTTTCCGGATTTTGTTGGAAATCCCTCACGTACCCGAAAAATTCCTTTGATAATAATGAGATGCCATGTGATTCTTTGAGTGCATTTCAACAATATTTTTGCGAAGAAATTATACGGAATGGTTTCGAGCATTTTTTTGCTAGTATTTTTTACGTTTTTTTTTTTACCACAAAACATGGTTCTCAATCATTTACCTCTCGGTATGGGTCGAATACACAGCAACAGAAACGAAACAAAAAATGAAACAAAAACAATGAAGAAAAATAAAGCGAATGGAACATTCCGTGATGCCTAGAGCAAGCATAATATTATTATGTTTTATCTCATATTTACGCCGAAAAATGTCTTGGAATGCACCTTTCGATTATTCAAAGATATTTCAAAAAATGAGAAGAAAAAATGGAAAGCTACGCAACGAAGACATGACCTCGCAGAAATTTAATTATAAAATGCATGTATGTTTTGATCGACTGAATACCACATAATCGAATATATGTGAGTTTAAAATCAAACTAAAGAGATAAAATTGCTGATATTTCTGCAAAAAAATGTTACTTACATGTTTTTTGTCGTCTTTGTAAATGTGACCAAAGTTCTCCACGACCTTTTCATCGCTGAGATTTTCGAACGGTTGTTCGCGTGCGAATGTCAGAATCTCCCAAAGTGTAATGGCGAATGACCATACATCTGATTTCGTACTGAATTTACCCTGTAACAATGACAGATGAGATTGAAATTAATGGGTTTTCGATTTCGTAAAACGGAGACGTTATCATTATCGGCGTCGTCATTTCAATCGTTAAATACATGAATAACAACTAATTTTCGCTTGAATAGAGAGTTACTTTAGATACAAATTAAAAGGAAATTAAGATTCTTATCATCGAATCGCTTTTTGTGCTTGAACAAAAGGCCGCGTCAATATTTCCATTGCATATCTACACATGTTATTCATGTTATCCTTGAAATACGACACGACAGACGTCTAGACATCATTCAGTTATTTTGTGAAAATTCCATTTTGTGAAATAATTCCAAAAATTACTTGAATACTTGTGCACAAAACTAACATTAAAATAACATTCAACTCGTCTAACATATCGAGATAAAATATTGTGAAAGAATGAAAGCAAGAAAGAAGTGAAAAAAAAACGCTTCCGACTTGAAGACGACAATATAAATGAGAATGTAATTTGCATTCTAAAAACTTACCAGTAAAACGCTTTCCCAAGACATCCATCGAATTGGCATGGGTTGTGACTGGCGTCCAGTACCTTCCAGTTGGCAATAGTCTGATGGATATGCAGTTCGATTTATCACAGTTCCAAGTGTGCATACCTTAACTTCTAGCTGCGGTCCAATTATACAACTCCTATGTGTGTCGAGAAAGAACGAATATTAAGTAAAAATTGCGATTAAAACTACTCAAACGGAAATTATTCAGCAAATATTTCAAACAAAACCAAAATCAATTAATAAAGTCACTGGATTGAAATGCACGCATGTATATAAAAGCTACTAGTGCTTTTGTAAAATGACATTGCAGAAAATAAAAATAAAAGCTAAACGAGAGTCGTAAAATGCTAATTGTTTTCATGTCATGAGTATTTGTGTTCTCGTGTTTTTGGCGTCAAAGGGCAGTGAAAACCGATTGCTATGTGAAATTTTTTATATTGTGCTGTCATAGAAACCGAAAAAACCACCACACACAGTTTCATGACAATGGTTTTCACACTGACGAACTGAGGAGAATGATACAAAAAAAAACACACACACAAACCAAAACGTAATAAAAAACGTTGTTGTTGTTAATGCAACCAAAAATCAAATGGGCGATGAATGAGCGAGAGATGAAAAAAAACAGTGAATGTAGAGAATTTTCCGCTTGCTCAAATGTTAAAAATTCAATTCAAAACATATGAATTCTTTGAATTGTTTGTACCAAAATGAAATGTTGTACATATATTTTATTTTGTCATTTTATTTAAAATTTGAGCATGGGCCTACCGGTGAGCATCCAATGTTCACATACACACAAATAATATATTTCATCATTCAAATCCACGCATGGTTCTGTCATTTCCATAATTAAATATTTTCATATTACAAAACATTTTGATGTCAGTACAATGTACCGATTTACCATCAAATCGCAATTCTATTTTGGTTTCGGTTTCATTTTTTGGGGATGAACATACATGTTCTCTTTCTCTCCCTTTCTATCTCCATGTTCGGGACTATGTTTTTGGTTCACTTGTAGTCGTCAACGCTGATGTAGGATTATCATATTAAGTCGGTTGATTGAACTGTTTTTTTTTTTTTTTGCTTACACACAATATAATATTCGCAATGTTTTTTGTGGCCATGTATTTTTCACGTGGTTGTTTGAATGCGAATGATAAGGTTTGACAGATACTAACCATAAAATGATTTCTAACTTTCATTTCATTCAGCCCAAAGCTACTGTTTGTTGAGCGTGTGTTACGGTGTATGTAACTTTTGTGCATTTTATTAAAAATTTAAACCCATTAAGAGCGAGTGAACAAACGAGATCCATAAAGAGAAAAAAGTGGTTACGTTGAACAAATGCAAACATACGGCAGATACATTATGTATTAATGGATATTCATTATTTTTTGGGAATGACCCATGTCTAGCGTATCATAAGCAGCCAGCATCAAATTAGGGAATAACATTCGTATCTAATGGCATTGAATCCAGGCAGCAGCACCACCGAAAAAAAACAAAATCAACAACAAAAAATTGATGCTGAAGTGCTTTCCACATGTGCATGCCCGCGTGTAATATGTGTATGACGAGACGCAAATTTTATGTTGTATTAGAATTAGCTACAATTATAGGAGCAGTTATGTTACAATGTTGTTGTTTTTTTTTTGATCTGGGTTTTATTCGTTCATCGACATTGTCCCTTTTTCGCCGAATCGCGAATACACATTAAAAATACCACTGAACGACAGAAAGAGGAGAATAAAAAAAACAACACAACAACGCATAAGCCCGATACATGATGAGGGTCGACACATACACTAGCACACAACATAATCTCGAGGGTTGAAACCGACCACGGATACACAAAATGATTAAATATTTCTTTGTATGACGTCAACGAAGAGAGAAGAGAGAGCGTGCGCGCTTATTCACTTCGTAACAATGCGGCTTTAGAAAATGAGAAACAATAACAACAAGGCGATTTGAATAATAAGGCAAGTTATAAGTATGCATTAGGATTACATTGAAACCGATCACCATTAAGCCATTTGATATGTTCTTGGCGCGCGCGTCATATACCATTCAAATAATGAGTCGTATCAACGATTGCAAGGTAAAATGGTTGTAGTAATGATGTTAAGCTGATTTTTCTTTTTTTCTTTGTCTTTTCTGAACAACAAAATACTTTTAACAAACAAAAGAAACATATTCAAATTCATTCCCAGTACATATTTTAAATATGAGCGTAAATTTTCCGCACTTCAATTCCTATTGGAATTGATATATTTAAAATGAAAATGTTTATTGTTGAAATATGCATATTTTTTGCTCACAATTCAAAGGTACTCCGTTAGAAATCTCGTCAATTTCATTGTTAATCAGACAACATGGACAGCAAAAAAAAGACGTTGTTCAAAATCCAATTAAATTGAGTCATGCCTATTTTTTGCTCTCTCTCTCTCTCTCTCTCTCTCTCTCTCTCTCTCTCTCTCTCATTGAAATATTCGAATAACCCGGAGATGTATCAATTTTATCCATGTAACAAGTATTTGTGAAATGTCGATCAAATTTGACATTGCTGAATAACTCTATTGCAATCGATTTAATTAAAAAATATTTGTTGAATGGATTCGTCTCGTCATTTTTGTATCTCGCTCGCTCGCCCTATCCCTTTCCATTATTTAGCAACGACCAACCTTTTATTCACCGTAACAAGTGAGATTGCAACAGAGCAGTAGCATATGGAAAATGTTGATTGGTTGGCATTTCAGGTAGAAGAGATAGATATTATTTACATGAGTCAATGGTTTTATTACGAAAATTGACCTAATAACTGTCAATAGAAAAACGAAAAAGAGATACGGTACAGTGCACATATTGTGTGGGTACAAAATGAATTACACTTGGATTGCAATTGGCAATACAGTAATATTGCACTTCAGATCGCTTTTGCTTTCTCATTTTTCCGGATGGGCCACCCTGTTTCATGCCATGCTTCTCTGCTATATCTGCAGCCGATGAATGTTGAATGCAGGCAGAGAAATAGAGATGAGTATATTTGATATTAGTTTCCAATATATATAAATATATCAATAGTTTGAAAAAGTATTTGCAGAGAAGCGTGCGGTGATTATTATTCTATCAATAGAGAAAATGCCCAGGTTCATTTGACAGCAGATTACACATTTACACCAACAACTAAAAAATATATACATCACGAACGGCATCTGTCCAACGGTTGATGTTCATTGTACTCTTATAATTAAGAGAGTGAGCGAATATGTCAACATAATTTAATTAAATCGATGGATAAAATGCATAGTGACACATTGCAAAAATGCAGCAACTTTGTATAATGTTGATATCATGTCGTAAATAAACACGATTACACTATATAATAATGATTTTCCAAAGGCAAATAACCGATATAATGATAAATAATGCCTGAATGAAGGAGTGAACAAATCGAGGAAAGAAAAAACTATACCATGTACCCATATCGTGTGTATTCAAATAATTATCTCCTGTGTGTCATTACGATGGCAGCGAGTAAGTGTGAAGAGTGTGTTCACGATTTCAGAAAAATACAATATATGCACATTGAAGAAGCACACTGATAATTGCAATAAATTTTGCACCATAAGCCGGGATGTCGAGTTCGCGGGCGACATTGGCGGTGATGTTGGCCGACAATCAGAGCAGAGAAAAAGAAGACGACAAAAAAAAACTGTACATCCCAATGAGTTATGGATCGTCGAGTGTTCGATAATCTGGTAAATGCATGGAAGTCGTAAAGCGAATCGCATTTGCTTGAACGAAAGGTGTCATCGTGGGTGCTGTTTTTCATTTTGCAGTCATCCATGCAGCCCGCTTTTCAATATTCAACATATACATCAGTAAACAAAAAGGTTAACCATTTTCTCGCTGAATGAATCGCAATTAATATATATATGTATTCAATGCTCACTTTTGTCATACACTCTATACGATTTTCTCTGTTGTTCGGTGCTTGTTCACATTTTTCATATGTCACGATTGCACAAGTGTTCCATAAAATGTTTTTAAGTTATTGCTTGCAGCCGCTCGAACTTATCAAGTGTGTGATTTTATCATAAACCCAGCGAATCCATAAAAATCGCGAACTCACAGACCCATTACATACTCAAACACCGAAGTGATGCGATAAGATATGGTGGAACAATTTTCACTTTTTAACGCAACTCATTTAATGGGCTCGCATGAAGCGACAACCCAAAGTGCGAATATTATCGCACAATCATCATAAAGTATCGTGACGAAGCGCATTTTCATGTATGCGGTGGTGTGTATTTTTTTTTATCCTCGGCGCTTCCTTTTTGGGGAGGCATAAAATGTGAAATTGCTCATGAAAATTGCTTGGATAGATGTATGCTTGCGATAGAAATTTAAACTAACAAGGAAAGAGCAAATGTAGAGTGTGAGGCACGGCTCAGAAAATAGAAAGACCGAAAGAGTGTGTGTGAGATTTGTAGAGTCATCTGAAATGAATATCAATTCAAAACCGCTTTCATATCCCATTGAAATCACTTTTGATTCTTGCGTCAAGTGATAGAATTGAATGCGCTGAATAATCCACATTTTAACTATATAGAATTGTATTTATCCACCTATATAGAATTGTATTTATGCCATTGAATAAGATCGGATAGGACAGGTATGCGCCAGTTTTACACTTGGTCGTTATCGTTATCTCAACTAGTTTTTTTTCCTGTTTGTCTGTTGCAAATGCAATTATGAAAATTTGCCGAATGGGCAAATTGTCATTAAGAAGCAGAAAATGAGATGCGCACAGCATTTCTTTGTTTCGCTCTCGGTTTTACATTTCACATCGTTTCATATTCCATTGAATCTCAATTCAATGTTAAATATTCTTAAGGAAAAAAAATACCAGAGTTTTTTCGTGTCTGCTATGAAGATGGCAAATCAAAAAGGCAATAGTTTAATCGCAAAAATGCCAATTTCGACGCTGATTTCAAACATCAAAGAGAACGAACAACTTACACAACTAATCTTGTGCAGATATTTAACGATAAACTTTTATTCAGGTTCGTTCGCTGTATGTGTTTGTGTGGAATTTTTTTTCCTCCGGTAAATATCGAAATG